CCTTAGGAAGCACACCTCTGGAAGACCTATGTGCACCTCCTCAACTTTTGTCACTTATAGTATCATGATGCTAGTATACACAAAACATAAAAATGGAATTGGAAACTTATTGTTAAGCTTACTGGATTGTTGTTGCACTATATATTTCTAAAAGAAAATTTACCTGGCCCTCAGCTATATATACAGTGTTGCTGTTGGATGTGGACCAGGTTAGAAAAATGCTTGATTTTGATTGGGTTAACAATGGAAGCTACTCTACTAACCCACCTATGCCTGTATGGTCTTTGAAATACTTTTGCATCAGAATGCTTCTAAAACCTTTCATTGAGAATTGTGCTTATCTAAACTGGAACGCATACCAGACCTTTTGGAGACATACCAATTGCAGTGGCGCCTAGGACTCTGTTGTTTGGAGCAATTAATTTCTCACTTCTCCTTAATACTTTGTGTGATATGGAAAAACCCACTAGTGATTCTGATTGTTCCCTGCATGTCGATATTCCCTGCTTTGTTATACCTTCTATATCATTAGAAATAACTATGTTGACATCTCTCTTTGTATTTGCTGTGATGTGTTTTCTCCTTGGATGTACTTGTTTGTTGCATTATCTTTGTACTCTTCATGATCCTTCTTGTGGATATAAACCACTTAAGGATCAGGGGATGGAATGTAGGGAGCACACATGTTATATGCATAGATGGAATGAAAAGCATAAATTGTAGTCCCTGTAATTCATAAAATAAAACTAAATAAATCATAAAATGTAACCTAGAATAGTAAGCTTAGAACACCCCTTACATCCCAAGGCTACTGGCAGGTTAAGGTATACAAAGGAAATCTCCACGTCAGCTGCGCACCTTATCAGTCAGAAGACACAGCTGTGTGATGACGTCAGACCAAAGTATAAGAAGAGCAAGAACTAAATGGACTCTGCTCGACCTCATGGTTCCCGAGACTGATACCTGGTTGAGATGCCACTGGATCAGCTCTCTGGCCCAAGAGTCTCCCCCGGCATTCCTGCATCACCATCTGGACCTGGACTCAGACAGCACCCAGACAGGAGGATGGCCGACCTTGGACTCAGATACGTCTTGTGGTAAGCAGTCTTGGGGAGATAAGCTTAGGACAGGAGTACTTTATTGAATATGATGTGTGTTGTGTGATTAGGATTAAATAAAAGGCTATTGTATCCCATCTCCTTGTCCTTCTGATCTATGCTTGTGACAATTCTTATTAATAATATCAGTGTCCCCTTGCCTTCCCTCCTCTTTTCTAATCCAGCTTTTCTTCCACGTACCTTTTTTTGTGTCCCTTATCTGTACAAATGTAGCCTTTTGTTAACAGGCAGCTGTGTAGTGTAATGGCTAAGTACGTACACCCTAAATCTAAATCCAAGTTCTACTGCTTATTAGTCACTCTAGGCAAATTGCTTACCTTCTTCAGACCAGGTGTCCTCACTTGTTAAGCAAAAACTTAGAACAATAAAAATAGGAACTAACTCACAGGGTCATTCTGGAGGTCATAAATAAAATAATGTATAGTAAAAGTTAGCATAATGTTCTTTACATTCAATTAATGTTAGTTGATAAAATTCTTATTCCCAAACCTATCCAAAAGATGAAAATAACCTGTTATCAGCAGACAGCTTGATTTCCCTGCCATGCTTTACTGTTAATTCTATAAGAAGTTCTTGTAAGATTTGAATTTTTAGTCTTCTGCTCTTCTTATCAAACTTAACTTTTTAACTAAATGTTTACTGATAACTTTTGATGACTTCTCCCATGCATATAAAGCACACCAGTTACCCCCCATCCCCCTCTCACCCTATTAACCATTGTTCCTCTTCTCCCTGTCCATTTCCAGATCTGTGACTTCTGTGACTAGTTTAGCCAGGGCCATTTGTGTGACTGCTGTATTAGCTAATTAACTGTTTTTACCCATAATATTTTGTTCACCTTATTGCTAGCTTTTTATGGGTCTGCATTTCATCTTTAAAACTGCTGTTATGGGCTGGAGAGATGGCTTGGGGGTTTAGAGCACTAGCTGCTCTTCTAGAGGACCCGGGTTTGATTTCTAGCACCCACATGGGTAACTCCAGTTCCAGGGGATCTGACACCATCTTCTGGCTTCTGTGGGCTTTGCGTAACACAAGTACACTTTCATACATGCAGGCATAACACTCATACACATAAAATAAAAATAAATCAAAAAATTAAAATAAAATTACTGTTAAACAGAATAACGAAGTTTTTAAAAAATTTAACCTGTTTTAAATATCAATTTCTTTATTGAACTTTTACTTGGCTAGTTCACATGAAAGTATGTATAGAGATAGAAATTTAATCACTTATACTCTTGTATGATAATAACAATTCATATTTGTATTTGATAAAATACACTAATAGTTATTGACAGAAACATAATAAAATTATCGAAAAGTATGCAATGGGTATTTTGATAGTGAAAATTATGACTAAGATGTAAAATCAAGGAAATGAAAAGGAATGAGACATCCTATAGAAGCCACTTCATAATAGCATGGTGAATTTGAGATAAGCTGACTTCTTGAAAAGTAAGTAGGACAAAGCATAGAAGTGCGTCTTACATGTGCCTCCTGAAAGCTGTACGAGCTGATGACGGATTAAAAACACATGGAATCTTTTAGAAAGTTTTCTTAAAGTATTATCAGCAAATGGTTTGCATTGATTAAGTCATTTATTATTCTCAGCAGCTCAGTGAGATTGGGACTACCTGTATCCCCATTTTCAAATTCATAATTTTTCTTTACTGATTTAATCCCTTCATCTTTTTAGAAGTAATTCTGTTGATAGTGATAAGACTTTCTTCAGTCCATACCTTGAGTTGTTTTATAGTACATTAATAATCCTTTAGTTGAAATACTGTATCCATTTTAGAAAACTTCATTAAAATTCAAACTAATATTTTAACACTTTACAAATTCTTTAGCAATGCTTTAAATCTTCTCCATGATTCCTTATTCATGTGTGATATAGCACGGCATAGTTAGCATTAATAGACTCTCTTTCATGGTCATTATTACCAAAGTTGCTGGTCACATGGCTAATAAGTAGAAGAGCTACCTACTTACAGCTGTCTCTAGAGCCATTCTCATATTGCCTTGGACTGATTATAGATACTATAACTAGGCATGCAGATTAGTATTTCTAAATTGACATACATTATTGAAGGCCCTTGTGTAATTCTGATATTTATAATTTTGTCACTGTATGTATTTGGCTTTGTATTAAGAAGGATTTTATTGGCTAGCTTAGTAAAAGGCTTTGTATCATCCATTTCCTGGGGCCTGGATCATCTGCTCTCTAATAGATTCGTTTACCCTCTGGGGTAGACTCCAAGAAGTAAATTGATTTTCCCCCAGAGTACTGGATGCACCGAGGTATTGCACAGAATTTTTTTTTTTTTTTGCCAATATCATCACAAATGGTGACTGCTCTTAAGACAGGATAAAATACACTTTATTCCTTGCCCACACTTTTCCAAATAACTGTTATTTTTTTGTCTCCATTGAGCTCGAGATATTCCCAAACCCCTAGATTTATTTTTTAAAATTAACCCCTTCAGAGGATGGCGTGATAAGAATAGGAGGTAGGAATTGGCTAGGCAGTTAGGATAAAAAGACCCCAAAGAAATGTAGCTAGTTTCTTGGCTAAAAGTCAAAATGTCCTTGGGCCTGTTAGCAACATACTCTGTTCCAAAGGCCAAAAACGTTAGAAGTATTTGGGAGCTTGTCTCTAATTCTTAAAAGATTTTAGGGTTACCTCTTCAGAGGGGGGAATGTTGGAGCGGAGGGAGTGGGCATGGATTTGATCAAAACACCTTATATGCATGTATGAAATTCTCAACAAAGTTTTTGTAAAAATTAAAATAAAAAACAAATCACATATGAAAGAATAAAAAAAGAGAAAAGAAATGAAATAAGGAAAAAAAATATTCAGCTGGCCTAGTTATTCAAATTTGGGGGGCAGTCTTTGTTTCTCTGCTTCTTGATGTATAAACTTGTGTTTGGCCCTTTAGACTTGGTGTACTACACTGTTTCATTTTCTGGATTTTTTGTGTAATTTTAATTTTTTAAAAATGTGTATGAGTGTTTGCCTGAATGTATGTAAGTGCACTGTGTACAGAGGCCAGAAGAGGGCATCGGATCCCATGGAACCGATGTTAAGGACAGTGGGTGCTGGGAACAGAGCCATGTCCTCTGCAGTAGCAGCCAGTACTCTTGACCACTGGGCCATCTCTCTAGACCCCTGTTTTGTGTTTTATTGAAATCACATTCCCCTGTTGTGAAATACTGTATGAAGTATGTCTTTTTTGACATGTGCCTGACTTGGTAGATTTCCACACAAAGCTAGATAAACTCACTGGTGACAGCCAGTACCTCTCTCTCCGCTTCATGGTGCATTATGGTCAAATCAAGTGTTAACTTGAAAAAAGAAGATTTTAAGCCTAAAACCTGGCCAGGTGGTATGGCATATGCCTTGAATCCTATCGCTCTGGAGGCAGAGGCAGGAGGGTCTCTGAGTTGGAGACAAAAACAACCAGAGAAATAAATACAGAAAGATTCAAATGAAATAAAGCCTAAGATCTCAAGCATTGTAAATTAAGATATTTTAGTTATTATCACAGCTGTGACTAACTTTCCCTTCAACAAAATTGGCCCTAATTCTATGAGTTATATATGAGAAGTAACCAACATGTAAACTTTTAACCATTATAGTCTTTTTCCATTACTTGCTGTATCTCAGCTGTATTGTATATATTTTTAATACGGAAGTTACATAATATGTTTGTCAGTGGGTAATATGTTAAAATAATTCATTAGAGCACCATTAAATGAGAATTCATAAATATATTTTAAATTTACTAAATGGTAAGTGATGTGTCTTTAAGATAATGTTGAAATGATTGTAGAATAGAATATTCTCTTTAGCTCATGCTTTTTTGCTCTTTATTTTTGCAGGGCTCTGTTTGAAGTAAACATGAAAGAACGAGATGATGGAAGTGTTACCATTACTAATTTGTCCTCCAAAGCTGTAAAAGCTTTTCTTGATTATGCCTATACCGGAAAGACAGAGCTAGCAGGTAACAACGTGGAAGCGCTCTTTCAGTTGTCGTCTTTTCTTCAAGTCCCCTTCCTGGCCAGAGCTTGCAGTGACTTCCTAATAAAAAGCATTAATCTGGTCAACTGCTTACATTTGTTATCTCTGTCAGACAGCTACGGCTCTACCCATTTGTTTAATCATGCTTTATACTTTGTACAACATCACTTTCATTTATTATTTAAATCCAGTGATTTCTTAGAGATGAGTTTTGGAGTGCTGCAAAAGTGTCTGGAATCAGATGAGTTAAATGTGCCTGAAGAAGAAATGGTCCTAAAGGTCGTCCTCACTTGGATTAAACATAACTTAGAATCCAGGCAAAAGCACCTGCCTCATTTGATTACAAAAGTAAGATTACATCAGTTATCTGAGGACACACTTCAAGACTGTCTGCTCAGTGAGGAGTGTTTACTCAAAAGCACAAACTGTTTTGACACAATTGTGGATGCCATTAAATGTGTGCAGGGCTCCAGTGGCCTGTTCCCTGATGCTCGGCCATCCACAACTGAAAAATATATATTCATCCATAAAACAGAGGAAAGTGGAGAAAATCAGTATACATTTTGCTATAATATTAAAACTGATTCATGGAAAATACTGCCACAGTCACATCTGATTGATTTACCAGGGTCCAGCCTGTCTAGTTACGGAGAGAAAATATTCTTGACAGGTGGTTGCAAAGGGAAGTGCTGTAGAAAGGTTCGACTTCATATCGCTGAGTCTTACCATGATGCCACTGATCAGACCTGGTGCTACTGTCCAGTCAAAAATGATTTCTTCTTGGTTTCAACAATGAAAACACCAAGAACCATGCATACATCAGTTATGGCTCTCAATCGACTGTTTGTCATAGGTGGAAAGACTAGAGGATCTCAGGACATTAAAAGTCTCTTAGATGTTGAATCCTACAATCCACTCTCCAAAGAGTGGGTATCGGTTAGCCCTTTGCCCAGAGGCATCTACTACCCAGAAGCAAGTGCATGCCAGAATGTCATTTATGTTCTTGGATCAGAGGTAGAGATTGCAGATGCATTTAACCCATCCCTTGATTGTTTTTTTAAATACAATGCTACAACTGACCAGTGGTCTGAACTAGTAGCAGAGTTTGGGCAATTTTTTCATGCTACTCTAATTAAAGCTGTCCCGGTAAATTGCACGCTGTATATATGTGATCTTTCCACCTATAAGGTGTATAGTTTTTGTCCTGATACTTGTGTTTGGAAGGGTGAAGGGTCTTTTGAATGTGCAGGTTTTAATGCTGGCGCAGTTGGGATTGAGGATAAGATTTATATATTAGGTGGTGATTACGCACCTGATGAGATCACAGACGAGGTGCAGGTCTACCACAGCAGCAGGTCAGAGTGGGAAGAGGTTTCACCAATGCCAAGAGCCCTAACTGAATTTTACTGCCAGGTCATTCAGTTCAATAAACACAGGGACCCATGGTTTTCCAATCATTTCTAAACCTAATATTTGCTTGAGTATTCTAAAACTATTCCACATCTTAAAGGCTTGTTAAAAAGTCTTTACATCTTAATACAATAAGATATTCCTGCTATTAGAGAATGATTATGTGTATGTTAGCTATGAATAGACAGTTCCCAGAAATTTAAGATACAAGCTACATTTTACCAAAAATTATATTGAATATAATTTAATCTTGAGTAATCCAGAATACACAGTATTTTCATATATAAATATAAGTCACAGGCTTTGGCACTTTAGTTTTTAAAGTACTTTATTGATGAAAGAGAGAAAAACAAATCGATGTTCACAATGTTTATACTTTGTAGAAGGGGATCCCTTGAGGTAGTAGAAGTTATATTGCATATTAGGTGGTGTGAAAGGTAAATTAGAAATTGGTGAGAAACCTATCTTGACACTGCAGGTATAAGAGTTGCTGAATATCCTTTATGATTGTTAAACACTTTTGTCTTTTATCTTGGTTTTGGTCAGAAATTTTCTTAAAATGAAATACGTTTCTCCATCCTTCTGATCAATATACCATGTACTGTTTTATGTGTAATATTATATTCATGTAATATATCTTCATTAAGAGTATATTGTAGCATGTTACAATGTTAAGCCATCAGCAGTGAATTCTTTTTAAATTTCTATTTCTATTTGTTTTTAGTGTCATTTAGTTTGAATTTTTAGTAGTATCATAGCTCCTTTTCTGGTTCTAAATTGGTAAATTTACATTTTTTAATTTTAATTTGGATTCTAAGTTGCACCAGGCCTGAGTTTGTCTTAACATGTAACCCATTAAGTGATGCTCTTGCATTATGAAATGCTACTTTTCAAAAAATATCTTTTCCATATCAGTATCAGTTCTCAATAGAGAATATAGAAATTTTGACCTCTAGAGAAGTCAATTACTATTAAATTAGCATACAAAGTGGTAGGTTTCACAGTGACTCCTTCATACAGATATGTCATTACACTTCTGTTCTTCTTCCTTCCCCTTTCTCATTGTCCTCCTCCATCCATCCTCCAAATCCCACTCCGCTGTTGTCCATCCTGCCATAGTCCCCCCCACTTCTACGTCCATTACCCTCTATTCTCCCCCTCCCTTAAAATCTCTTCCTTCCCTCGGAGTCCCCTTTCTACTTTCATCACACACACACACACACACACACACACACACACACACACACACACGCTACATGTACAGATACATAAACTTAAATGTAGATTGAAATATGACAGAAAACATGCAATTTTTGTCTTCATGAGTTTGCTTCTTTCACTTAACATAGTGACCTCCAGTTCCACCATTTTCCTCCATGTGTCCTGATTTCATTCTTGACGGCTCAATAAAATTCCATTGTGTGCATCTACCACATTGCCTTCTTCTCTTTGCTGAGCATCTAGGCTGATTCCTTATCTTGATTGTTGAGAATAGTGCACCAATCGATATGGATATGCAAGTGTCTCTGCTATGATGACTACGAATCCTGTGTGACTGGGAGCTGCAGGAAGATTGCAGGATTCCAGGATTCAATTAGTACCAAAGCAGTTTCCTGGGATTAGTGCTAACTGTAAGCATCATATTTTGCCACTAAAGTAAATTATTCAAAGTGAATTACTTCCTCAAATTTCTAATATTGGTTATATTTAAAATCTATAACTATGTAAATGTTTAATCTTTTTAACTTTCTAAAATAATTTTTATTAACTCCAGAGTTTCATACAATGTATTTTGATCAATTTTTTATTTTAACAAGGAAAAAGTACTGACCATCCTTGTTCTTAGCTGGATGGTTCTGCCTTGCGAGAACTGTGTTTCCTTGATCACTTAAAAAGATACAGGCATTTTAGTTTTAGGACCCCTGATTTACATCTCAGGTAATTTGTACATTTCATTTCTCTGAATCAAATGTAGTTTCCTACACTCAGTGATAAATATTAATCTGTAGCAAGTACAGAATGGAGATAATACCTAAATTAAAGTCTTTTTTTTACCATATAAATTTATGCAATATAAATTTAAAAGGTATTTTTAAAAACCAAGCAGAATATATTTATATGCAGCTCCAAAATCAGACTATCAACTAGGAGATCCACAGCTTTTCCTCTACACACACAGTTGAGTGGCTCTGCCCTTCCCTCTCATGTGTGCTTAAGGAAAGAGAAAACAGCGTGAAGGCTTCTTTGATACTATTTGAGAAAGCCCATAGCAGTGAGTGCCTTATACATGAACTGACAGAACTGTTAAGCACTGTGTTCAAATGTTGTCATCACTGACTCTAGGAATTATTCATTCCTTCCAGAAAGGAGAAGCTAAAGAGTCCCTTCCCGACAATGCTCCATTGCTGTCTCCTCCATTTCCACTATCTTCTCGTAGGCCACTGACGTGGTGATGTTTCCAGACATGGTCTTGTTTTCAAGACCTAGCTGGTTCCATCTGCTTTGGCTTTACTGCCTTTCCTTATGCTGGTTTTTGGCCTTAGTTACTGCACTTATTTTTTTTAAATTATTTATTTAATGATTAGAAGCACTTCATTACAGCATTAACATATTCAATAACAATTTCCAGAACAAAGATGCATCTCTTTCAAAGTTCGCTGTAAACTTTTAGGTTCACAGTTGAATTAATACAGCTATACAATATTGAACTCAGTATAAACCCTATGACATACAATTGAGTGAGTTTTTAACCTTTCAAAAAGATCTCCATTTCATTTTAAAATATACTGTTTCCTACAGAAAGGCTCGTTTTTAATGCTACCAACACTTAGATATTTGCACAAGCATCTCTAATCTCTATGTGTCTGATTATTACTAATCACAGTCAGTTGCTTTCTGAGCTCTACCTGGGCATGGGCATAAAATCATCAGGTAGATTTGAATGGTAATGTGTTTCACCTCTATTAACATGGAGCAAATTTTTATGCTTCTTCCTCAAATGTAACTCATTTTTAAAATTTGTTGATTTTTTTGTGTATATCATATAGAACATCCCAAACAATCTTATTCACCTATATACCCACATCCCAATTGGCACCCTCCCGTAGTCCCCCCATTCCACTGGAGCCCATATACTCTGTAATCCCTGTTACTGTGTTGTCAGCACCCCCTACCGTTCTCCAGTGCTTGTCCATCCACTGAATCTAGTCAGCCTATCTAGAGTTCCTTGTTTTAGGAAGATCAGCTCTTCCTCGTCTAGCAGCAATGAGTTACTAATGGTTCTTCAACTAAGATTGGGGTCTGCTGTTCATTTTCCCAGTTCGTTACTGTCTGGGAGTCTTTTGGGCCACCCTGGCCAACAACTCAAAGGAAGGTATCTCCTGTCTGGCATTGTGTCTTGTTATGTATCCTTTAGCTATACACATGGACTCTTAAAGAATTATATTGATCCCTTTAATCTTTGGTTATACTTTCCTTTTGGGTGTTTAAGACCACACAGTTGGCCCAGATAAACAAATTTATTTTTACTCTTAAGGTCATTTGAGGATCTGTTCCTCAGGGGTCATATGGGCTTGGGAGGAGCCCCTGGCTCCCTTATTTTACCAGTTCCATCTATGTGAAGGTAAGTCAGAGGTCCTGGTCGACTGTGGCTGGCTTCACTTGAGGCATGGAGGAAATGTTTCCTCTTTGTTGACCCTCCTCTTTATAGACTGGACAAAGTCTGTTTGGTGGGGTCTCCATGGCCTCCTTGATCAAGAGGACAAGTGACACACCACAGTTACATTTTGAGAGATGCTCATAGTCCCCTGGAGTTTAGTTGACCTAGGAGGGCAAGGAGCAAAAACTATCATTTATTTCTCTCTGACCAAATTAGTATAGTCCTCAAAAGAATGGCTCTTAAACATCCAAGAAGGTTAGTTCCACCAGTCTGGTACTTTTAATTACCATGTGCTTTGTAGATAAAGCTTGGGCAAAGACCAAATGTTCTCAGATAAACCTTGCTTAGACATGTATTATATTCCTTGAGCTAGTTGTATGTATAATTTGTCAGTAGATTGTTCGATTAATATGGTTCCCTCTGGGTTTTTAAAACTAGCTAGGCATTATTTACCTCTTGCATTGTCTAGAGCTTCCACCATGGTTTCCCCATTTAAAGTGCCCCCATTCCCCCCATTTCTCCCTTAATAATACTCTTCTCCTATGGTCCCATCTCTCTTGAGCCCCTTCTTTCCCTTTATCCCCAAGGTTCCTTCTATAACCACCCCCCTTCTTTCTTCCCTTAAAATAACCCCATTTTTATCCACATCTCCCTTAGTAATGCCTGTTTCCTACTGTTCTCTTTCAGATTCTTTCCTTTACCTCCCTGGTTCCTTTAGTTATGGTTCCTGTAGTTATGTCTGGTTACATAATCATTTATCAGGATTTGGTGCTAGGATCCACATATGAGGGAGAACATACGTCGTTTTTTGTTTTGTTTTGTTTTTTGTTTGTTTTTTCCCCCTGAGTCTATGTTACTTCACTTAGTATAACAGTTTCTAGGTCCATTCATTTAACTTCAAATTTCATGATTTCATCTTTCTTTACTGCTGAGTAAAACTCCATGGTATATATGAACCACATTTTCATTATCCACTCCTCAATTGAGGGACACTTAGGTTGCTTCCATCTCTTAGCTATTGTGAGAAGAGCAGCAACAAACATGGATGTGCAAGTGTCTCTGCAACAGGACGAGTTCTTTGGGTATATGCCAAGGAGTGGTATAACTGGGTCAAATGGTAGGTTCATTTGTAGTTTTTTAAGAGTTCTCCACACTGCTTTGCACAGAGGTTGAACAAGTTTGTAATCCCACCAGCAGTGGATGAGCATTCCCCCTTTCCCACATCCTCTCCAACATCAGGTATCCTTTGTTGTCTTGGTCTTAGCGAGTCTGACTGGGGTAAGATGAAATCCTAATGTGGCTTTGATTTGCATTTCACTAATTACTAATGATATATTGAGCACCTTTTAAGATGCTTTTTAGCCATCTTTATTTCTTCTTTTGAGAACTCTCTGTTCAGCGCCTTAGCCCATCTTTTAATTGGAATACTTTCTTGATTCTTTGGTTTTTGAATTCGTTATATATTCAGGATAATAAACCTCTGTCAGACATGTCACTAGTGAAGATTTTTTCCCATTCTGTGGGTTTTCTCTTCACTTCCTTGGTTGCTTCTTTTGATGTATGGAAGTTTTTTAGTTTAAGGGGTTCCCATTTTTTGTTTCTTGACCTTGTTTCCTGAGCAATTGATACCCAGTTTAGAAAATCCTTTCCTACACCTATATCATGTAGGTTATTGCCAATGTTTTCTTCTAACAGTTTCAGAGTTTTAGGCTTCACATTCAGGTCTTTGATCTATTTGGGGTTGACCTTTGTGCAAAGCGAAAGAGGTTTAGTTTTATTCTTCTACAGGTGGAGATCCCAGTTTTAACAGCACCATTTGCTGAAAATGCTGTTTCTCTTCCAGTGACTGTTCTTGGCCCCTTTCTCAAAATCAGGTGGCTGAAATTTCACATATTCATATTTGGGTCTTCAGTTTTATTCCATTGATATCTGGGTTTATTCTTATGCCGGTACCATGTTGTTTTTATGACTATAGCTCTGTAATTCAGTTTAATAT